GACCGATAAAAATAAACCAATGGGATTCGTTGACCCCCAACGAACCAATGAGATGCGTTTACCCCAGTGGGGGCGGGTCCCGGCTCAAAAGTGGCCAAAATGACATGTGCTGACATGCTTGCAATACCACCCCGGGCCGATGAGGGTGGACCCAGAATAAGAATTGGCCAATGCTAACATATAGCATCTTCCTACCTCTCGAAAACACCTTTACAGGATGGTCCAAAAGTTGGCTCTTGGCCCAAAGCTCCGTTCCACATGTGTGTCAATGCTGAGGGGAGTGAATTTTTTTGGACCAGTCTAGTTTACTCGCTGTGAATTTTTGAAGTCACTCGTTTAGAAGAATGGGGCTCGTGCAGCTGACGCATGCGCAGATGCGTTTTTTCACATTTTGAATCACTCCATGAGAGCCCAATTTTTGGCCCATTAGTTAGAACGCCGGAGATAGGCGTGACTAAATTAACTGAACAGAAAAGGCCAATTTCACGTTTGCCACCCACTCTCCCTGTTGTGACAAAGAAAAGAAAATGCTGGATGTTTGGTTTGATGGAGAGGCGAGTGGTTTCCAGTTGGTGCTACGGCTAAGTTAACAAAATCGTTTACTGCACCTTTAAGGACTTATTAGTCTATAACTAATTCGAAAGTTGGATTGTTACTTCTGCTTCTGTCCCCATTCTGTATATGATCTCGTGCCGACCGTTTGTATACCTGCACATACATGCATATTTCTCTTTCTTTCCCTTTACTGTGTATCTGTCATTGATTTCTATTTTACTTCGTGTGTGTGTGACTGCTTCTTCTTTCACCTGAATGCAGCACATACTGTAAACTTCCTTTCACAAAAATAAGTGCATCTGGTTCTCCAAAAAACATGAAGTGAGATGTGTGGCAGTTAGAGCAGCCTGTTGCAAGCAAATGTCAATGTTGTCTGTCAAAGCCGCGCTACATTCTTCAGTCAGAGAGCCCGTGTTTTTGAGGCAGGTGTTCGTCTGACGTTCTCGATCTTCATCAAAGATTTAGAAATTATGTCAAACATGATTCAACTATTTGAATTTGTCTGTTTAAAAAGGAATAATAAATGTTTGTTAAACTTCATATACCTTAGATTTGTTTACATTCTTTTGACCTATTTTGGTGACACGTGGTACGCACTCTCGCTTCTCAGCAAGAAGGTCCTGCATGGGATTGAAACCCTGTTGGAACGGGGCATTTCTGAGCGGAGTTTGCATGTTCTCCCCGTGTCTGCAGAAATATCTTCCGGGTGTTCCGGTTTTTCCTACCACTAAAAACATGCACAATTGGTATGAATGTAATGAGTGAGGGAATGGATGGTGTTTGGTCAGAGGATGCTCCAGTGTTTTCGGCGTCTCGCTCCCGTCATCATCGTGTGGAGAGAATGGAACAATATATGAATTCTGAACATTGTAGAACGCTTTGGATGGCATTTCTATGTGAAAATACGTTATATAAATAAAGACGACTTACTTACTTACTATTTCTTTTGACCATTATGTTCAAATCTTCAATAAATGTTAAAGTTTTTGACCTTATAAATATAGCTCTTGTTCACAGTGCCACAAACCAGCTATAAACGCATGTCCCAAATAAAGTGGAGATTAGGTGACCTGCGACTCCCAGCTGCTGCCGTCTCAGTAAACCGCTCTCTTGGTTTATTGCACTACATATAACATTGTAGTTACAGTTTGAGTTTGTGTGTGACTGGGCCTGGTGTGAGTGGAGGTTGTGGGTTGGCCCAGACCTCCACAGGAGCACTCTTGTTTAACAAATGAGGAGCAGCAGATCACTGCAGGAGCACAGGAGCTGCAGTTCCACAGAAGAATGGCAGAGGAGGATTTCCTCTCCACCCTTTCTCTGACTTCACATTACAATACAGCTTCCTCTGGGCTTTCACAGCTCTACAGACTGTTCTTAAGCATCAAACATCTGATACTGGTTGATATATTTTGAAGTTGGATTCATTTTCGTGTTACATTACCTTTTTATCATAATTGGAGGCTAAGGAAGGTTTCTCACCCATCATCTGTACTTCTTAGCAGGTTTTCCCGACGTTTCGTCCTCAATCCAAAGGACTTCTTCAGGGAAACGTCGGGAAAACCTGCTAAGAAGTACAGATGATGGGTGAGAGACCTTCCTTAGCCTCCAATTATGATAAAAAGGTGAAGGTTTTCCTTTGCTTTGACTAATCCCTGTACGACTGAGGGCTTACACAAACTAATAATTGGAGGCTGTTTTTCATTGAGAATATAAAACTATATCGTGAGACATTTTTTATGAAAAAAAAGGGGGTAACTAGTAACAATGATGGCACCTACTGATGGTGGGAACACTCTGTGGTTTTACGTTTGAACTGTATTGTTCTCAGTTGCCATGGTTGCTGTGGTTTTTGGTTTGAGTAAAATGTTGGTCTCTGTTCTAGCGGTGTTTTGCATCGTGTTAAATGTAATCCACAATTTCTTGAGCTAAGTTTTCCATGTGACGTTCGTTAACAAATCCTTGGAATTCTCTGACCCTTTGAGCCTTGAGTCATTAGGCGAGTGAGCAGTGACAAAGCTGATAAGGCCTTTCATCAGACAAGTGCCACTGATGATGCCTGAGCAGTGACCACAGAAATGAGTCAGCCCCAAAAACACAAGTCCCTCTCTTCGCACACTCATACTGTGTGAATGTGGCTCTTGGGCAGAAGCTCCAGAACCAAACGAACAATCGGGTTATTGAACAGGCCTCTGTCAGAGCGGCTGCTGCGTTGCTCCTTTGGCCCCTGCAGAATGTCACACTGCAGCTTATAGTCTCATAAAACCATGTCTGTTTAGATTCATATTGAAAATATGCAAGCAATATGTAGGCCATTCATGCATGAGCACGCACAAAATCATTGGTTTCGTTTTTATATAGAGAAGTAGGCTAATGGAGAAGTCTTGTGTGTTAAAACACTATTTCTGTTCATGTGCATACCTCATTAAAAAAGACATGCATATAGGTACAGTGCCTTGCAAAAGTGTAAAGAATAAAGAATCAACAACAAGTGGGACACAATCGTGAAGTGGAATAAAATTTATTGGATAATTTAAACTTTTGTAACAAATATAAAACTGAAAAGTGGGGCGTGCAATATTATTTGGCCCCCTTGCGCTAATACTTTGTAGCGCCACCTTTTGCTGCAATTACAGCTGCAAGTCGCTTGGGGTATGTCTCTATCAGTTTTGCACATTGAGAGACTGGAATTCTTGCTCATTCTTCCTTGCAAAACAGCTCGAGCTCAGTGAGGTTGGATGGAGAGCGTTTGTGAACAGCAGTCTTCAGCTCTTTCCACAGATTCTCGATTGGATTCAGGTCTGGACTTTGACTTGGCCATTCTAACACCTGGATACGTCTATTTGTGAACCATTCCATTGTAGATTTGGCTTTATGTTTTGGATCATTGTCCTGTTGGAAGATAAATCTCCGTCCCAGTCTCAGGTCTTTTGCAGACTCCAACAAGTTTTCTTCCAGAATGGTCCTGTATTTGGCTCCATCCATCTTCCCATCAATTTTAGCCATCTTCCCTGTCCCTGCTGAAGAAAAGCAGGCTCAAACCATGATGCTGCCACCACCATGTTTGACAGTGGGGATGGTGTGTTCAGGGTTGCTTTTACGCCAAACATATCGTTTTGCATTGTGGCCAAAAAGTTCGATTTTGGTTTCATCTGACCAGAGCACCTTCTTCCACATGTTTGGTGTGTCTCCCAGGTGGCTTGTGGCAAACTTTAAACGAGACTTTTTATGGATATCTTTGAGAAATGGCTTTCTTCTTGCCACTCTTCCATAAAGGCCAGATTTGTGCAGTGCACGACTGATTGTTGTCCTATGGACAGACTCTCCCACCTCAGCTGTAGTTATCTGCAGTTCATCCAGAGTGATCATGGGCCTCTTGGCTGCATCTCTGATCAGTCTTCTCCTTGTTTGAGATGAAAGTTTGGAGGGACAGCCGGGTCTTGGTATATTTGCAGTGGTCTGATACTCCTTCCATTTCAATATAATTCCTTGCACAGTGCTCCTTGAGATCTTTTTGTATCCAAATCCGGCTTTAAACTTCTCCACAACAGTATCTCGGACGTGCCTTGTGTGTTCCTTTGTCTTCATGGTTCTCTCTGCGCTTTAACAGAACCCTGAGACTATCAAAGAGCAGGTGCATTTATACGGAGACTTGATTACACACAGGTACATTCTATTTATCATCATCAGTCATTTAGGACAACATTGGATCATTCAAAGATCCTCACTGAACTTCTGGAGTGAGTTTGCTGCACTGAAAGTAAAGGGGCTGAATAATATTGCACGTCCCACTTTTCAGTTTTTTATTTGTTAAAAAAGTTTAAATTATCCAATAAATTTCGTTCCACTTCACGATTGTGTCCCACTTGTTGTTGATTCATGACAAAAAATTCAAATTTTATATCTTTATGTTTGAAGCCTGAAATGTGGCGAAAGGTTCAAGGGGGCCAAATTCTTACTGTAGATATATAGATAGATGATAGATGGATAGATCTATTTGAATTATGTTTATGGAGCGGGAGTCTATACATTTCTACTTCTTTCCTGCTCCATTTCAAGCTGACAAATTGTAAACAAAAATGCATTGTAGATACATATTGAAATTGTAAAGATACAACACATGGTGAAACTAGGGCAGATATTGTTGCTTGATTGTATATTTATGTTTATATTTGCATGTGTGAGTAAATACTGTAAGCACAGAAGGCAACATGTACAAAAGGTCATGTAAACTAAGGAAAATTGTAAAGTTTCCAATTAAATCAATCAGATAGATGACAAAACAAACAATAGTGATAAAGTGCAATAGCAATAAAGAGGAATGTGATGTTCATTATTCTTTTGTATTTTTGTTATAACCATAATCACTTCTTATAAACGTGCATAAAAGAGTGTCAATTCTTCATTTTCGGTCTGTTATTAAAGTCCGCTGCTATTTCTTCTTTCAGATTGTTGATCGGAGCCCCAAAGGCGAAAGCTTTAGGAGTTCAAAAAGCCAAGATCACTGGAGGCCTTTACAAATGTGAACTCACCGTGTCCTCTGATTGTCAGCGTGTTGAATTTGACAGCGAAGGTAATCACTTAATTTTATTTTTGTATTAAAGACTTTTTTATGACTGTGTTTTTTTGTATTTAGAGGATGTCCGTGTGGAGAATAAGGAGGACCAGTGGATGGGAGTGACTGTTCAGAGCCAGGGGCCGGGGGGAAAGATAGTGGTAGGTCAAACTCTAACCAGAAATATAGCTTAAATGATCGAACGTAACAGCACTAAACATATGTAGCACCTTTCCCCACCGTAGACATGTGCGCATCGTTATCAGAGACGGCTGTTTGTGAACACGCCTCAGGAGTCTTTAGACATCACAGGACGCTGCTATGTCCTGAGCCAGGACCTGACCATCGACAACTTGTCTGATGAAGACGGAGGGAACTGGAACTTCTGCCAGGGTCGAGCCAGAGGCCACGAGATGTTCGGCTCGTGTCAGCAGGGCCTGGCTGCTGTTTTTACGAAGGACTATCACTATGTGATCTTTGGAGCGCCAGGAGCCTACAACTGGAAAGGTTTTCAATAAATGTATTTCAATTTCCATTACCACTAAAGCTGGAATGGCTAATTTTCAAGAAAAAAACCATGGGACTTGTAGTAACTTAGGTTCCATCACAAGTTTTAACATGCATGTACTTCAGATTCAGATTCATTTTATTTGCCATTTGCAGTAAAACCACATTGGAATACATTTGCAAGTCCCCAGTGTGCACAGGACAGGTACATACATAACATAAAATGTGCAGGAACCGACCCAGAAATGGATTAAGGGGAAGAAAATGGATGGATGGAAACCATTGAGTTGTTGATCAACTAAACAGTTTTAATAGAAGTGTAAGATCATTACGGTGCTTTCATTGGCCCATCACATCTTTAGATCAGCTTTTTCAGGCATAAAAGTGAAAAAGAAAGGACCACTCAGCCCAGAGTGTCAGGCTCTGTCTTACAAATACGCATGCATGATGGTTCACTACTCTTTTTTGAGAATACGAAATGTATTTTTTATGGCAAATAAAGTTAGGGTAAGTTTAAGTATCTATGAACCACGGTACAACTCAATAAAACTGAGAAACTATAACAATATGAGAAAATATCATTAATCGGACTTGAATTTGTTGATTTAAAAAGTAAAATACACATGTCTATTATGATCCACAAATACAAATAGTCCCACAATAGTCCCATTATTTACAGGTATTTCCCATATACTTAAGGCACATTTGTTGGTGCGGTTTCCTCAACAGGTATTGTACGAGTGGAGCAGAAAAACAACACTTTGCTGGAGATGGGGATTTATGACGACGGCCCGTATGAGGTGGGAGATGAGAACCTGCTGAACTCAGAGCTGGTTCCTATGCCGGCCAACAGCTACCTCGGTGAGCACCAAACACTATTGTGATCATTGGACTTGTGCACTTTGTCCAATGTAAGCGTCGCTAAGGTCATCAGCCAGTTCACTTCTCTTGCTCTAGAGTTAGAGAAGTGAGGACTAAAAAACAAAAATCACATTGCTTCCTTCAGACCTATGAGACTTTTTTGGAATGAAAGAATTGAGGTCCTTTTGGTGATTCGTTTGTTCGTAGGATTCTCTCTGGACTCAGGCCACAGCATCATGAGAAGTCGGGGTCTGACGGTGGTTGCTGGTGCGCCCAGAGCCAACCACAGCGGAGCGGTGGCTTTGCTCAAGACGGAGGACGAGGGCTCCACCAGGCTGTCAGTGGTGCACACGCTACAGGGGCCCGGCCTGGGATCTTCTTTTGGATACGACCTGGCTGTGGTTGACCTCAACCTTGATGGGTAAGAGCTAATGAGGAAACAAGTGGCCGACATCTGATTATATTCCTCTTTCTATTCTGAATATTCACTTGTCACTTCACCTGCTGCTATCATTACTATTGTTTGATTCCCTGCTGCTAAAGTACAATAAAAACATCTGTTCTGATCTATCCTTGAACCAAGTGCAATTATAGCTCCAGAGCTTGACTTTATTTAATTCTATTATCTTGGTGTTTTATTTAATTTTATTATCTATTATCTTTAATGATAGATCCTGTTTGATGTGTGCAGAGACTCAGCCTCTGATAGATGGATAGACGTTTGAACGGGGCATATTATAATAATGAATGCGAGTTTTGTAACGCGCTTTGTAACCTCAGCTGGCAGGACATCGTGGTGGGGGCCCCGCAGTTCTACATGAAGGACGCCGAAGTGGGAGGAGCCGTGTTTGTCTACATAAACCAGGAAGGACACTGGGAGCGGGTCACTCCTATCCGCCTCAACGGGACCAGAGACTCCATGTTCGGTCTGGCCGTCAAGAACATTGGAGACATCAACCAAGACCATTATGAAGGTGAACACTGCGCATATTCACTTCAATAATTAACAGCATCGCCATAGCAACCAAAATTTCTCTTTAAGATATTGCCGTCGGTGCGCCTTTTGATGACAATGGAGCAGGGAAAGTTTACATTTATCACGGTTCAGCACAAGGCATCAACAGTACTCCTGCACAGGTAGTTAATTATAGATCTTTTATATTTTATTTCTCAAATGTGAACTGTTATGTATCTGATGTGATTAGGTTCTCTCTGGAAAAAAACACAACATTAAATTCTTTGGATATTCCTTGGCTGGAAACATGGATTTGGACAGCAACTCGTACCCAGATCTGGCGGTGGGGTCACTGTCAGACTCTGTATTTATTTACAGGTAAGGGGTCTTTTACATAGTACTAGCAACAACAAAATCCTTTATATTGTTACTCAAATATTGTATTATAGTGATTAATTGCAGTGAAATATTTTAATTCTTTTCATTAACAGATTCTAATGGTTTTTTTTAGAGGTGCTAGTATAGTTGGGTATAGTACATTCGTCTAATAAATACAGTGGGGCAAAAAGGTATTTAGTCAGCCACTGATTGTGCAAGTTCTCCCACTTAAAATAATAGGAATTCACATTGTAGGATTTTTAAAGAATTTATTTGTAAATTATGGTGGAAAATAAGTATTTGGTCAATAACACCGGGCGGTGTGTTTTGGATCATTATCATGCTGGAAGACCCAGCCACATTTCATCTTCAAAGCTCTCACTGATGGAAGGAGGTTTTGGCTCAAAATCTCACGATACATGGCCACATTCATTCTTTCCTTAACACGGATCAGTCGTCCTGTCCCCTTAGCAGAAAAACAGCCCCAAAGCATGACGTTTCCACCCCCTTGCTTCACAGTAGGTATGGTGTTCTTGGGATGCAACTCAGTATCCAAACACAACGAGTTTTTGCCAAACAGTTCTACTTTGGTTTCATCTGACCACATGAAATTCTCACAATCCTCTGCTGTATCATCCATGTGCTCTCTGGCAAACTCTAGACAGGCCTGGACATGCACTGGCTTCAGCAGGGGGACACGTCTGGCACTGCAGGATTTGATTCCCTGTCGTTGTAGTGTGTTACTGATGGTAACCTTTGTTACTGTGGTCCCAGCTCTCTGCAGGTCATTCACCAGGTCCCCCGTGTGGTTCTGGGATATTTGATCACCGTTCTCATGATCATTTTGACCCCACGGGATGAGATCTTGCGATCCAGGGAGATTATCAGTGGTCTTGCATGTTTTCCATTTTCTGATAATTGCTCCCACAGTTGATTTGTTCACACCAAGCTGCTTGCCTATTGTAGATTCACTCTTTCCAGTCTGGTGCAGGTCTACAATTCTTTTCCTGGTGTCCTTCGACAGCTCTTTGGTCTTGGCCACAGTGGAGTTTGGAGTCTGACTGTTTGAGGCTCTGGACAGGTGTCTTTTATACAGATAACGAGTTCAAACAGGTGCCATTAATACAGGTAACGAGTGGAGGACAGAAGAGCTTCTTAAAGAAGAAGTTACAGGTCTGTGAGAGCCAGAGATCTTCCTTGTTTCAAGTGACCAAATACTTATTTTCCACCATAATTTACAAATAAATTCTTTAAAAATCCTACAATGTGAATTCCTGGATTTTTTTTCCACATTCTGTCTCTCACAGTTGAAGTGTGCCTATGATGAAAATTTCAGACCTCTGTCATTATTTTAAGTGGGAGAACTTGCACAATCGGTGGCTGACTAAATACTTTTTTGCCCCACTGTATATAGGTACTTATGGAAGCCCATTTCCGCCATGTAAAAAAAAAAAAAAGCATACAGAAAGTCAAAATTTTGAGTTTAAAACTCAAAATTACGACTTTTAAAAGTCAAAATTTCGACTTTAAAAGTCAAAATTACGACTTTAAAAGTCAAAATTTCGACTTTAAAAGTCAAAATTACGAGTTTTCAACTGCGCATGTGGAGTTGAAAACTCGTATGTATTGTTGTCTGGAACGGTCTCTGGTCATCCATGACCATGGGTCATCCTCTACCTGCAGATTATGTGAAGATATTGCCTACAGACAGTGACCACATCCATGAAGTAGCAGCAATAATGTTGTGGTAGTAATCGCGTTAAAATGCAAACGGTCTCTCCGTTTATGATTAGAATCCGCTTCAGAAGCCTCTATTTAGTTTATCCTAAACGGACTGTGGAAGATTAATAAAACACATGTGGCTGTTCAAAGTCATTGAGCATCAACTGGTGACGTCTGGTCAGTATCATTGCGATCGATGGATGGTGGCCTTAGCCCACGGGGCCCGGCCGGGCTCAGCCCGAAGGGATGACGTGGGCAGTCCCTCCTGTGGGCTCACCACCTGCAGAGGGGTCCGTGGTGGCGAGGTGCAGAGAGGACTGGGCAGCAGTCGAAGGCGGAGACCTCGACGACCCAGTCCACACACCCAACATCTGGCTCTTGGGACGTGGAACGTCACCTCACTGGGGGGGAAGGAGCCCGAGCTTGTGGGGGAGGTTGAGCGATACCGACTAGAGATAGTCAGCCTCACCTCCACACACAGCTTGGGCTCTGGAACCCAACTCCTTGAGAGGGGTTGGACGCTCCACTTTTCTGGTGTTTCCCGCGGGGAGAGGCGGCGAGCTGGGGTGGCCATACTCATTGCCCCCCATCTCAGCCGCCACGTGTTGGAGTTCTCCCCGGTGAATGAGAGGGTCGCGTCCCCTCCGCCTCCGGGTGAGGGACAAGTCTCTCACTGTTGTGACGGCCTACGGGCCTAACGGTAGTGCAGAGTACCCGGCCTTCTTGGAGTCCTTGGGAGGGGTACTGGACAGTGCACCGCCCGGGGACTCCGTTATTCTCCTGGGGGACTTCAACGCCCATGTGGGAAATGCCAGTGACACTTGGAGAGGGGTGATCGGGAAGAGCGGCCCCCCTGATCTGAACCCGAGCGGTGTTCAGTTGTTGGACTTCTGTGCCAGTCACGGCCTGTCCATCACGAACACCATGTTCGAGCACAAGGGTGTCCATCAGTGCACGTGGCACCAGGACACCCTAGGCCGGAGGTCGATGATCGACTTTGTAGTCGTATCATCTGACCTTCGACCGCGTGTCTCGGACACTCGGGTGAAGAGAGGGGCGGAGCTGTCAACCGATCATCACCTGGTCGTGAGTTGGATCCGCTGGCAGGGCAGGAGGCCGGTCAGACCTGGCAGGCCCAAGCGTGTAGTGAGGGTTTGCTGGGAACGTCTCGCTGAGCCCCCTGTCAGACGGACTTTCAACTCACACCTCCGGGAGAGCTTCTCCCAGGTCCCGGCAGAGGAGGGGGACATCGAGTCCGAGTGGACCATGTTCTCTTCCTCTATCGCCAATGCGGCGGCTCGTAGCTGTGGTCGCAAGGTCTCTGGTGCTGGTCCCGGCGGCAATCCCCGAACCCGGTGGTGGACACCGGCAGTAAGGGATGCCGTCAGGCTGAAGAAGGAGTCCTATCGAGCAATGATGGTTCGTGGGACTCCTGAGGCAGCTGTCCAGTACCGGCAGGCCAAACGTGCCGCGGCCCGGGCTGTTGCAGAGGCAAAAACCCGGGACTGGGAGGAGTTCGGAGAGTCCATGGAGCATGACTATCGGTCGGCCTCGAAGAGGTTCTGGCAAACCGTCCGGCGCCTCAGGAGGGGGAAGCAGTTCTTTGCCAACACCGTGTATGGTGCGGGTGGAGGGCTGCTGACCTCGACTGGGGATATTGTCGGGCGGTGGAAGGAATACTTCGAGGTTCTCCTCAATCCCCCCGTCACGTCCCCCGTCCAGGAGGCAGAGGCTGAGGATGTTGGGGCGGATACTTCCATCTCCCTGGCCGAGGTCACCAAGGTGGTTGGCAGCCTCCATGGTGGCAAGGCGCCGGGAGTGGATGAGATCCGTCCTGACTATCTAAAGTCTCTGGATGTTGTAGGACTGTCTTGGCTGACACGTCTCTGCAACATCGCGTGGCGATCGGGGGCGGTGCCAATGGAGTGGCAGACCGGGGTGGTGGTCCCTCTCTACAAGAAGGGGGACCGGAGGGTGTGTTCCAATTATCGTGGGATCACACTCCTCAGCCTCCCCGGTAAGGTCTACTCCAAGGTACTGGAGAGGAGGCTTCGTCCGATGGTCGAATCTCGGATTCAGGAGGAGCAGTGTGGTTTTCGTCCCGGTCGCGGAACACTGGACCAGCTCTATACTCTCCATCGGATACTCGAGGGTTCATGGGAGTTCGCCCAACCTGTCCACATGTGCTTTGTGGATTTGGAGAAGGCGTTCGACCGCGTTCCCCGGGGTGTCCTTTGGGGGGTCCTCCGGGAGTACGGGGTCCGGGGTCCTCTGCTGAGGGCTGTTCGGTCCCTGTATGACCGGAGCCAGAGCTGTGTTCGCATTGCTGGCAGTAAGTCAGACCTGTTCCCGGTGCATGTTGGCCTCCGCCAAGGCTGCCCTTTGTCACCGGTTCTGTTCACTGTATTTATGGACAGAATCTCTAGGCGCAGCCAGGGGCCGGAGGGGGTCCGGTTCGGGAACCACAGGATTTCATCTCTACTTTTTGCGGATGATGTCGTCCTGCTGGCTCCAACGAACCAGGACCTGCAACATGCACTGGGACGGTTTGCAGCCGAGTGTGAAGCGGCTGGGATGAGAATCAGCACCTCCAAATCCGAGGCCATGGTGCTTGACCGGAAAAAGGTGCCTTGCCCTCTCCAGGTGGGTGGAGAGGTCCTTCCTCAAGTGGAGGAGTTCAAGTATCTCGGGGTCTTGTTCACGAGTGAGGGGAGGATGGAGCGTGAGATTGACAGGCGGATCGGTGCAGCGTGCGCAGTGATGCGGTCTCTGTATCGGACCGTTGTGGTAAAGAGGGAGCTGAGCCGAAAGGCAAAGCTCTCAATTTACCGGTCAATCTTCGTTCCCTCCCTCACCTATGGTCATGAGCTGTGGGTAATGACCGAAAGAACGAGATCGCGGATACAAGCGGTCGAAATGAGCTTCCTCCGCAGAGTGGCTGGGCGCTCCCTTAGAGATAGGGTGAGGAGCTCGGTCACACGGGAGGAGCTCGGAGTAGAGCCGCTGCTTCTCCACGTCGAGAGGAACCAGTTGAGGTGGCTCGGGCATCTGTTCAGGATGCCTCCTGGACGCCTTCCTGGGGAGGTGTTCCGGGCACGTCCCACCGGGAGGAGGCCCCGGGGAAGACCCAGGACACGCTGGAGAGACTATGTCTCTCAGCTGGCCTGGGAACGCCTAGGGGTCCCCCCGGACGAGCTTGAGGAGGTGTGTGTGGATAGGGAAGTCTGGGCGTCTCTGCTTAGACTGCTGCCCCCGCGACCCGGCAACGGATAAAGCGGAAGAAAATGGATGGATGGATGGATGGATGCACCAGAAATGCACTGAATGATATTGTGACTGACAGAGACCGTTCCTGATTACTGGACAGTGAGGCAGGTCCGCAGACAGAGGCAGGAGAACCACAGACAGAGGCAGGAGAACCACAGACAGAGGCAGGTAAACCACAGACAGAGGCAGGAGAACCACAGTCACGGGCACTGACAATAATACCCTTTTGGAATTGCGATCAGTGCATTGAAGAGTATGTGACGTGTTTGCGTGCACGCGGGGGTGAGCTGATGGAGCAAGCGTGCGGGTAAAGTTGTTGGCGTATGAGCAAGAACACAGAGACATACAGGGAATAAGTACCTTGTCTGGTTATTTTATTGTGACAAAATAAAGCCCACGACTCTTTTAGCAATAATCCGGAGAAATAACTCCGCAGATAACAGTGAGGGTCTTTGAAAAGGGTTAGAAATAGATAAACCCATTATAGATGCATGAATAAAACCCCGTACACAACACGTAGAAAGCGCATCCTTTCAGCCGTGGAAATACTCGCTCCGTGTGGACCCCTCTCAGCGCCATAGTCTGGTCAGAGTGGTCTGTAGCAGATTGGATTGGAATGTCTCGATGGCTCATTTTCCTTTGATTTATTATAAAAACGTATTGCTCACATTATTTGTTACTATGTCGAAATAAGAAGTCGTTTGATTTAAATGTTGTATATATGTAAATTGAATTTAACATAAATAAATAAAAAGACAGCTCCCCCTGCGTCCTACGACCGCGGTCTGGGGCTTAAACAGGAAAGTTTTACAGAATCAATCAAACAACATTATTTCTGGCTACTTCATGGATGCAGTGGTCACTGTCGGCAATATCTTCACATAATCTGCAGGTGAAGGACGTCCAGAGACCGTTCCAGACAACAACACACACGAGTTTTCAACTGCACATGCGCAGTTGAAAACTCGTAATTTTGACTTTTAAAGTCGAAATTTTGACTTTTAAAGTCGAAATTTTGACTTTTAAAGTCGTAATTTTGACTTTTAAAGTCGAAATTTTGACTTTTAAAAGTCGTAATTTTGAGTTTTAAACTCAAAATTTTGACTTTCTGTATGCTTTTTTTTTTTTTACATGGCGGAAACGGGCTTCCATAGGTACTGGCAGTGGGTCTTATAAAAAGTTAAATAAAGCACAATGTATTGATATAAAAGAGGAAATGTAAATTTAATCGTATTTAATAATTCAAGCAGAATCATATTTTTGCCTACTGTACATGTATACACGCACATGCATAGATATATACAATAACAGTGTCCCCATGTGTCAATATATTTACAATTTATCAGCTTGAATTGGAGTGGGAAGAAAAAAGTCGACTCCCACCCCATATACACGACTTGACGTTATATCTAGTTAAAGCTTAATTTAATCTTTTTTGCTTGTGTCATTCCATTCATTTCTAGGACTGTTTGCTTTGACTTTTATCAGAAATATGTTCTCGTAATGTCCAGGTGGCCTTCACAGTATGTTCGTGATATATCAGTAAAATAACCATGCTGTCTGTGTATCAAAGCCAAATAACAAATGTTTACACTAAAAGCTTAAGAGCCGTCAGTCTCACTGGTTTTATTGTCAATACAATTAGATGATTGTTGAAATATTCATTTTATTGGCCCCTGGTTTATTATCTTAGTATTTGCTGCAGCTTTTTCTTTCAGTTGCAAAGATATTATATTTCTTTTACTTCCTTCAGGGCACGGCCAGTCATTAGCATTTGGAAAGATGTCAAAATAACTCCACAGGAAATTGACCTGACAATGAAAAGCTGTGGCAACAGTATTTGGTGGGTATTATAACATCTCTGTATGCGCTCATTTGACATAACTCAAGCTGTTTTTAATTGTTTGAAATATTTCTCCAGCTTCACAGTGGATGCATGCTTCAGTTACAGATCAAACCATGGCTCATACAGTCCAAAATTAAGTGAGTAAAAGCCTTTTACTAGTTTGTATGTGTTATTCCCACGTATTCACTCATCCGCCTGCAGCCATCAGCTTCTCAGTGGAGGCTGATGCAGTGCGCTGGTCGCAAGGCCTCCCATCCAGAGTCGTGTTTTTGAACAAATCTCAATCTGAAAATGACTTCATCCATAACGGCACTTTGGAGCTACGTGCACAAAACCAGGAAACGTGCATTAAGCTAAAAGCAAAGCTGAAGGTAACATTTATTGATCTTTTTCTGGATAAAAGGGAATTCCACTTGTGATTTGAAGAATATTTGTTTTGCCATAAGGAATGGATTTATTTTGTTGTATATTTTTTAATAGGAAAATATTAAAGACAAGATGCACAGCGTTCCCATTGAAGTGTCTGCAGATATTGTGGGTCTAAAACGACAGAAGTCAAGGAATGGCGTCCTACAGCTCCTGCCAATAATGGACCCAGCCATGTCGGGAAAAGAGATCAGTGAAGTAAGTTACTTTTCTATTGCTAATAACAAATGGCTGTGAATGTATAAATGTCATGTTTATCTGTTGTAGGTAAACTTTTTAAAAGAGGGTTGTGGCGGCGATCAGATTTGCCAGAGTAACTTGAAGATGAATTACAAACTATACTACAAGCACAACAACCAAGACACATTCTCACCCTTACCTGTGTAAGTAATGCTTTAACATATTAATGAGACGTTAATCATGCCATAATAATCATATTTACTTCTGCTGTATTTAAAGTAATCCATGTATGTTGAATGAGGCAATTTGTTATGAGAATAGCTTTGTGTTTCTCAAGGTTCTTTGAAAAAAATCTGACTCCAGTCTGATAGCATCAGATTCAGATTCATTTATTTGCCATTTGCAGTATCACAAGTAAGCAAAAGAATTACATTAGAATTACAAAAACAAAACACCTTATAAAATCCTCTGCTTGTGTTGATGAAGTGGGTCGAGCATTTCTGCATGTTTGAACATGAAGTCAAATGCTGTTGTTCAATTATTTTTGAATAATTGATAAAACAGTTTCCAATATAAATAAAATTATATTGACAGAATTAATTCATAAAGGAGGCCACAAGCTAATGCAGTTTATAAACTCACTAGAGTAGAGAATCGGCAGACTGGACTGGGTTGGTGCTTGAGGATCAAAATATAGTCAACGTTACATAAATAATGTGGTCTTCACGTTTGAACAGAAAAGGCTAAAAATGAGTTTGGTTTTCTATATGAACATGATGTATTGGGATATGTGCAGCACCAATGGTGTTCCAGTGTTTCACCTGAACTACGAGAAGAAGGACTTGGCAGTGAAAGTGACAATAAACAACTTCAATGGAGATGATGCATATGAGGCAAAGTTGACTGGTATATTTCCTGACAATCTCACCTATTCTGGTGTGCGATCCAAGGTATACACTTTTATTCATTTATTCAGAGTCAACACACAAAAAATACAATACATCAGTGTCATAGTCATCATACATACAGCATAAACCAAGTCTTAAACCCCACCAAGAATAACTTGAATACTTACATATATTGTGTACAGGTGGAGAAACAAATGATCTGTAAGGCAAACCAAAATGGGTCTCAAGCAGAGTGCGAGCTGGGAAATCCTTTTAAGCGAGACTCAGAGGTAACCATGATGCCACCAAGGGTAATGTTTTTTAATTTGTTTTTATCGTTTTGTACTGTTTATTTTCCAGACTGTGTTGTACATCATTCTGAGCACGGCAGGTCTAACAGCAGATACAGAGGAGATGGACATCAACCTGGAGCTTCAAACGTAAGATAGTAGTAATAATAATAATAGTGGCATTCTGTAACGTTATAGAGCTATGCATGATTCTACTGACATCTACTGGAACCTCTGCTTCTCTACACTTCACACCCTGGCATGTCCGTTTGGTTTTCCTTTATGTTTAATTATTTCTCATATGAAACAAAAGAAAATATTCATACATTGATATCACTGATGATTTTTCTCTATTTTCAAAACGCAAATGTCTTAGTTTGGTCTGGTCTTTTTGATAACTGTAAATTTGCAACACTGAAATTATTTTCAAATTGTCCAGCCTCTTTGATTTTGTGTGCCTTGTAGAACCAGTGTTCAAGAAAACATGGCGTTTTCCATTAAAGTCCGAGTAATAATTGAAGTTCCATTAACAGTGACTGGGTAAGTAGTTAATAAGCAGTGTAATCTTTTCTACATTTGTTAGCACCTTGAGTTAACACACGGCTTGTTTTATTCAGGATGGTTAATACAAATACAGTGCATTTTGGTGGAACAGTCAGAGGAGAAAGTGCCTTGAAAACAGAAGAGGATATTGGAAGTTTGATAAGTTACAAGTTTACAGTAAGTGACCACATAAAGCTGTGTATGCTTTATGTATTTTTACCTGTATAGTGTCATTTGTGAAGCACTTCCAGTTGCACTGAGTAGGAATTATGCTATATCAATAAACTTGCCTTGCCTAGATAAATAATCGATGGAAGGCCTCCACTCCTGCCTCGCTCCACATTCACTGGCCAAAATCTGCTTCAAATGGGAAATGGCTTTTGTATTTGGTGAAAATTACTGCTAAAGAAGGAGATAAAGACATTCGCTGTTTGCCAGAGTCGGAGGTCAACCCTCTCAAACATATCAAGGCGAGTTAGTGTTGTTTTCATTATTTTGATAGTTGCATGCTCCTACATATTTAACTTTTTTGTTTTTAGGAGTCTCATGAGTTCAGAGGAAAACGAGAGACTGGAGAGAGAAAAATAGTGGAGAGATTGGCAGGCCAAAGAAAAGTGTTGGTGAGATCACCATTCATTATCTTTGTTTAACATTACGTATAATATAAGTGAAATGGTTTTCCTTCTTTTCCTTCCTAGTCTTGTGAGGATGGACTAAAATGTGTGTTACTCAAGTGCCCCCTAGAGGGAAGGGACGGAACTACAGTTGAGCTCATATCTCGATTATGGAATTCGACTTTTCTTGAGGTAATATTTTGTGTGTATCATTTGTGTATAAAAATCAAATAAAGGACAAAGGTGAAATTCTATTTGAACAGTATTATGACATTAACATTTATGCTTCATGCTCAAACAATGTTATTTCAGGTTCATTTACATGCTCAAAATAAACCATGTTCCTCTGCCTCAGGATTACATTTCTTCAACACCTCTGGACATCATTGTTAAAGCCTCTCTTGTTCTGCACACGTCTGCTGCAAACACAGTTCTCAGAGCATCAGACTCCAATGTAAGTGACTGGAATATGGAACAGTAGCTTCACGCCTTTATGATGAACATAAACATAAAGAGATAAAGATATAGTGTGTAAAAGGGGTTGTGTGCTGTAGGTGACGGTGACAGTGTATCCTGAGACCACCATCGCTGCCTACGGAGGAGTGCCCTGGTGGATAATAATGATCGCAGTCCTAGCTGGCATCTTAATTTTAGCTTTACTAGTGTTTCTTCTGTGGAAGGTGAGGAAATGTCATCATCAGTCCACAAATTAGTTTTTAAACCCAGCTTAACACAAATGTTTCACTAGAGTCTGACTTTTGTATTTTCTTTATTTAGATTTTCTTCCTTTATTATCTGTATGTAATTTAGACCTCATGTTTGACTACGCACACTATATACACTGCAATGATCTAGCTGTATATTTGGCAAAATGCATACATAAAAGGAACATAGCTATGTTCATTTTATTTTTCTAAACCATGGTCACCTTGCTCCCTTCAGTGTGGTTTCTTCAAGAGAGCAACTAAAGACCAATATGACGCTGCGTATCACAAGGCAGAGATCCATGTTCAGCCCTCTGACAAAGACAAACTGTCTACGGAGGCCTGATCACAGCTCTCTGAACAGGGGTAAACAGCTGACAGCATGGCACCTTACTGCAGCAACTAATCAGCTTCTTTCCTCTTTGGAAAAGTCCTAACCAAATGTGCCGTAGATCCCCTCATATTGTACCTGCCTAATGTAATAATCCTGAACACACTGAGATATGCCCACCATATTTCTCTGTGTATTGTGTACAATATGAATTTCTGGCTTTTCATGTATTTGTGCAGCTTGTGCTCAAGTCTTGCTCTGCTTGGCAGCTTCAAAATGAAAGCATGCTTTTAAAATGTCCCAATTGTGCAAATCTAATGTAACTGCTACATTGTTTTGTAGTGTGGATTCTTCAACCGCTCCAAGCAGGACACGGTTGCTGTTCCCCGGTACAACGCTGTGCGGATACGGAAAGAGTCTTTGGAGTACAAGGACGGGAAAGTGAAACTTGATGCTTTGGACAAAAAGCAGTGGATGACCACTTGGATAAACAATGAAAGCTACTCATGATTTGAGTTCAACTCAGGTCCCTAGACTTTCTGTATGAAACTACTTCAATTGAAGTCACTTAGTTGTGCAAACTGCTGATCATGAGCAATGTATTTTTTTAGAATACAGTCAACTTTTTGTAATTTTTGTACATGATGAAATACTTGCGCCGGCACTGTATATTTATTTTTATTTTTTTATTTCTTTATGCAATTTTGCAAAGATGTTTAGAATTTGGATCTGCACAGAACAAATAAGTTAGCTTTATGCTGTTAAAAGCTATGCACCTACACAAGTCTGTGCTAAGGTACACTGTAATATATGTGAATAAGAGATTCATATTTTGGATCTAAACTTTATTAAAATAATCTTGATTGAGGTACATCCAGTCCTCACATTGTAGACAATTTATCTGGACCAAATACTTTTGAGAGCCATGGAAATTGGTAGCATCCACTGTACTGTAGCTCAGCACTGAAGAAAGGATGTTTCTACATTCAAAAAGGGATCATGGCAGACATGTTTTCAGAGGCTCTTTGCCTCTTCCTTAATATTTGTTTAATAAAAAGGTTTACATTGTGGGTCTGCTTCAGTTCATTTCTTCTTTCTCATTGGAGACAAAGAATTTCAGGACTTATTCAAAAATATTTATATTTTAGAACAATCATTCACTTCAGAGAGACTGCAGCTATACAAAAAGTATTGAAACTTGAAAATAACATTTAATGAGTAATATACACTTTATCACAACTTTTATGGCAACTAACAAAGCAGTTATGCAAAATTAGTCAAATGTTAAACGGAATGTTTTCTCCTGCTCCTTGCGCTGGTTGTCACACATTTTGGATACCTCTTCAACTCTTCTCTGCAATAGAACTGAATTTTGATCAACCCACTGCAGTGAATCCATGTGCGCATTGAGGATTTTGCAAATCTGTTGAAGCTAAAAGAAGAACAAATTAATAACTACTATCCAAAACAGGTTCATGTTCACAGAGGAAGGTCAGAAAAGCTTACCGGATCACTGGTGTCAGCGGGGCCACTGGATGTGTTCAAGTGCTCGATGATCTCCTTCAGATCCTGAGACATCCTTTTTAGCTGAGCGTCCACATTCTCTGCTAGCTTGTAGGTCCTCTCGCGCTCTTCATCTGCATTCTGCATGTAAATGGTTCCACTCTGCTCTTTCACGGACTCCTCCAGGGGGCACAGAAGGTCCTCCAGCTCCTTCTGCTGGGACAAGATGAAATCCAGCTCCTGGTTGAGGCGCCTCTGGTCCAACTTCACCTTTTCCATCTCTTTGTGAAGTGATGTTATCTTCTCACCGTTTTCCACTAGCATGCGGTCCCAGGCGTTCACTTGAGTGGCCTGCTGCAGGAAGTGTCTCTCTTGATCCTCCAGCTCTAGACTCCACTTGTTGATGAGACCCTCTAGTTGGGCATACGTCATCACTGGAGGAGCAGCAGTGGTAGTAGTGCTGGGGATAGCAGCTGCGGATGTAGTTGCAGCTATGCTTGTGGTGGGTTTGAGCCCCAGTGTAAAGCCAGGAGTGGCCCCAACTGTGACAGCTGCTGCTGCAGCAGGAGCACTAGCAGTAGGTGCTGCAGCAGCAGCAGCGGTGGAAGTAGCAGCGGTGGTAGCAGCTCCCAAAGGTTTCAGCATCAACGATAAGCCTCCAGCTGCCGTTGTAGTGGCTGACGCAGCGCTGGCTGCTATAGAAGTTGGAGCAATGGGCAGAGCAAACCCAGTACCCAGAGTGGGAGCGGCACTAGAGGCAGGTGTGGTGAGGGAGAACAGCGAGGCAGCGGCGGATGGAGCTACCTGGGTGATGGCTGGAGGAGCAGGCGTGGTGGATGGTTTGATGCCCAGAGAAAAGTCTGCAGGTTGTGGTGGTGCGGTGGTGGTGGTAGCTGCTGTTGGAGCAGCTGGCTGGCTGCCAAGGGTTAGGGTAGAAGGGGCAGTAGATAAAAATGTAAAGCCTCCTCCTGTCCGTGGGGGTGCAAGTGCAGTTAATGTAAAGTGTTGTTGACAAATTGACAATTATAATTATAATACATTATGACTTACCTGTGGCAGTGGTAGGAGCTGCAGCTGTAGTAGCCTGTCCTTTGGTGCCAAAGCTGAAGCCGCCAAAGCCTGCAGTTGACGAGGTCACAGCCGGAGCAGCCGCTGGTTGTTGGGTCTGAGGAGTTGCCCCAAAACTGAACCCTCCTCCGGTGGGTGCAGCAGCGGGGGTCTGCGCGGACAGACCACCACCCATGGTGAACCCTGCACCCGCAGCAGGAGCAGTAGTGGAGCCTAGAGTCATCCCTGTAGTCGTCTGAGGGGCTGGGGCCAGGCCAAACGAGCCTGTAGTAGTGCCAAATGAGAAGCCACCTCCAGAAGCGGTGCTTTTGGCAGGGGTACCAAAGGAAAAGCCGCCGGTAGGGTTGGCACTGGGTTGAGCCGCATTTCCAAAAGTGAAACCGCCACCCGCGGGTGCCGTGGTGGAGGCCGGCATACCAAATCCAGGTGTAGGGGCTGCTGTAGTGGGTTGGCCGAAGCTAAAGCCCCCTGTGCCCTGTCCAAATGAAAACCCGCCACTCATTTTGAGAGTTCACTAAGTACGCGTGTTAGCACGTTAGCACTAGCCGAGCATGTAAACAGACTTCCTCCAGTTTTGGCGGGTCTGAACTTTATCAACGCCGTCTGCTATCACCACGGAAACTTTAAAGTCTCTGTCAGTCACCCTTTACATGAATATGTTAGAAATATAATAGTTTATGCCACAAGCAAATATAAATTTAGAAATGTATCTTGATTAATAACGTGGCCTACCGGTTCCCCAACGGTCCACACAGGCATATGGTTGGCCTCCTAACGGAAATGACGCGGGACGTCAGCGTTTGTTGACGTTAATTTAGATTCAAGATAGCTCGTAGCTCCTTTGGCCTAGTTGTTTACAGTCCCAAACGAACAAAACTAAGATTCACGCAAGTGTTATGTTATATTTGTTTTTATTAAAAAATTTTGAAAAATAATAATCACCAAGTCTTGCTTGATTATTGTGCTGAATGTTGAAGTTAATACATGTCGTACCTTACTGCGTATGTTAAACCTGTAACCATGGATCTATAACCTAGTTCTCTTGGCCACGCTGTTGCTCTTTAGACAGAGGATCCCGCTGCAAACTGCACACCTGCTACATCCAATGACATTTGGGAAAGCGTGACCACCCCGTCTTCATGCCCAGAAAGTGTTTTTCGCTACAACAGTGAATATGAAATCGTCACAACTTTTTATTAATGAACGATAATATAGTGTTTGCTACTAAGCTAGACACTACTCTGAAACTAGCTGTCAAGCTAATGTCAACTTGGCTCACTGAGACGTCTACTGGCTGTTTCTGTTGTTGACACTTTTATATTACAATATCTTGATCTAAAACACAATGCGGATTCTTAGGTTTTTGAGGAATAGCGTGACCATTACAAAAGATATAGACTTTTATTCCAGATTTTCGCCTTCTCCTCTGTCAATGAAACAGTTTCTGGACTTTGGTAAGTCAAGCAGGTGCTTTTTCTCGTTTATATGTGTTAAATTGCACAGTATGACGGTTAGTTTTACTTATGATGGTTATAACTTGTTAATTTTCCCCTGTATGCTTTGTGTTGTCGTATAAAGTACCTCATCGTCGGCTACTTGATATGACTGGTGATGCAAATCAATAGTCCCTTCAAACAATATTTGTATGTACATGGTAACAGAAATATCCAGGGGGAAAAGTAACTTGTTATAGCTACATTTTGTTATGATGTTCCATAACATTAATACGTTACACTTTCAGGGTCAGAAAATGCGTGTGAGAAAACCTCCTTCGCCTTCCTCAGGCAAGAGCTGCCAGTGAGATTGGCCAATACAATGAAAGAAATCAATTTACTGCCAGATAACTTGCTGAGGACCCCTTCAGTGCGTCTAGTCCAGAGCTGGTATGAAAGCAGGTTTAAGATTAAGCGCTGTCACATCTGTACCATTAATGTGTGCCTATCTCCTGTGCAGGTACATGCAAAGTTTTCAGGAGATTCTTGAGTTCAAAGAGAGGAATGCAGACGACGAAAAGACCATCTTTGAGTATGTTTCTAAAAGCATAGGCAATAGAATGCATTATAGTCATTGATCACATTTCTACAGTTTCACAGACGCTGTCATACAGATCCGTAACCGCCATAATGATGTGATTCCTACCATGGCGCAGGGGGTGGTGGAGTACAAGGACTCTTATGGCATGGATCCAATTGTGAGCCAAAATGTTCAATATTTCCTTGATCGTTTCTATATGAGTAGAATCTCCATCCGAATGCTTCTTAATCAACACAGTGAGTTGTTATTGGATTTTTTTTTTTAGACATTATAGTTGTAGTTTTACAAATTTTAAATAAGCGTTTGTGACTATATTTCAGCCCTTCTCTTTGGTGGAAAGGTGAAGGTGAACCCAGCGCACCCTAAACAGATTGGGAGTATTGACCCACACTGTCGGGTCAGTGATGTCATTAGGGGTGAGAGAAAAGCTTTTTTGTTTTTCTATTAAACAAATATTGTCAGTGTTTTGAGTTGGAATTTTAACAGCTGCACTTTTTATTTTTTGTCACAGATGCCTTTGAAAATGCAAGGAATCTCTGTGACCGCTACTACATGAACTCTCCTGAACTTATATTGGAAGAATATAATTGTGAATACTTCTTTTGTCATAATTTGATAGTTCAGTGGCAATCATGGTGTAAGACCCTGTTATAGAGCTTATTAACTTCTGGTGGTACACAGAATGCTGTAATATGTTTGGTGGTACTTTGTGTGAAAATGTAAATGTTTATATTATATCTCAACAGCAAAAGAAATTGATAAACCCATAACAGTGGTTTATGTTCCTTCTCATTTGTACCACATGGTGTTTGAACTTTTCAAGGTAAATTTACACATTTATTTACTTAAAATTACAGTTTGGCTTAAAAATTCTAAACATTTGTCTTCCAAAGAATGCCATGCGTGCCACAATGGAATTATATGGGGATTCTATGGAGTATCCTTCAATCCAGGCACATGTTTCTCTGGGCACAGAAGACCTAACAGTAAAGGTAAAACTAGATTCTTTGAATTCATTAGAGCAATTTATCATAGTTTGTATTTGTTTTGGATAAGGTGAGTGATCGCGGTGGCGGTGTTCCACTGAGAAAGATCGACAGGCTGTTCTCTTATACATACTCCACTGCCCCCAAACCGGACATGGACCGTTCTGACGCTGTACCACTGGTCAGAGTTTATTCATGAATTACTTACAAATATGAATACACACCTGATCATGTTTTTTGTCTGCTTTTAGGCTGGATATGGCTATGGTTTGCCCATTTCTCGTCTTTACGCCCGATACTTCCAAGGAGACCTGAAGCTTTACTCTTTGGAGGGATTTGGGACTGATGCAATAATCTATATACGGGTATGGACATCTGTTCCTTTAGGTGTTTGATTACTCACATGAAGACAAACTTCAGGCACATGTATTGGCTTTACATTTTGACACATAATTTAATTCGTATACATTTACAATATATTCAATATTATGGGGCTCAACAAAACCCTAATACTATGTATATACATTTATCAAATCTACAATTTCTACCCTGCTGCTACCCCAGGGTCAAAATGACCCGACACAGATGACTCAAAGTGGAAGGAAAACCCTAAATTAAACAGGGTCTCAATGACCCAGGGCATGTCAAGTTAGGAAAAACCATCAAAATTCAGCTCAATTTTGTAAAATTTAGGGTATTTAATAATCACTGTGGTGGGTCAATTTGACCCAAAGACAGCACCATTTGGCTCTTCAACAATTACACAAGATTGTAAACTCAAGTTTGTTTGCATCTTCTTATCCCCTTTCTCCATTGTTAGGCATTGTCCACAGAGTCAATAGAACGGCTGCCAGTGTACAACAAGTCTGTATGGAAACACTACAAAACCATCCACGAAGCTGACGACTGGTGTGTTCCCAGCAAAGAGCCCAAGGACATGACCACCTACCGGAACTTCTAGATCCAAACACGTGTGTTTCTTCATCACGAGATGAGCGTGTGAATCTAAGGATGAATAGATTTTCCCAACAAAAAAATCTGGTTTCTCTGAAGGTGCATCATGAGATGAAATAGAAAGAACATTTTAGTATTTAGTATTAGGTCCATGCATGGCTCTTTTTCACAGCTCACATCTGATCATTTTAAAACTGACACTTTTGGTCTTACAAAAAGAAGTGTTCACCACTTTAGCTTTTTCTATTGTTGGCTATCAAATAGGCAAAAAGGGATACCTAGGACATGTGATGGACATCAAACTAAGTTTGACTTGCAACAGACCTGTCCTTTTCCCATCTGTGCGTCTCAGGGGCGAAGAGTCTTTGAGTGTCAGAAAAAAGTGCTATAAAAAAACAATGCATTTATTTATGTTAAAGTGCTATGGATTTGTCATTTTAAATCCACATTGTCTGTTACATTATATTTCTTGTTGGATTTATACATCTGTCACAACTGCCAGTATAAAACTGATATTAAGTATCAGTTATCAGTATTTTGTCATCTGTAACAAATGTTTAAACTTAAAATAAACCTTTATGGTAAGTGTCCAGAAGTAAATGCATTTCTCTGCCATTTTGTTCTAATACTTGGCCAGCTCGTTGCTTTGTCAAAATACACTGACACAGATTACACTTACAAATATGGCTCAATTTCGAAGGATTATTTAAAGGCAGTTAATTTACAGTTACAAAATGATACTCAAGTCATTTCTTTCAATGGTTTATTTATGGTATATGTACCAAGACATGTTGGAAGGTCTGACAATGGCCTTCTCATTGTCATCACAACAGAATGTGGACGAGTTCATCCATGAAGAAAACAGTTCATAGTCGTTTGGCCTCACTGTGTCCAGGGGACTTGTTACTGGCACCAGTTGCATCTTATCAAACTGTCTTTGACTGGACATAACAATGATGACCCCTCTATTCTACTTAGTAGAATATTTGACACAATACAATGGTGGCCTTAAGGTACAAAAACAACAATGCAGTAGACACATGTATAAAATTACATTTATACATTCCAACCTTGTCATCCTCCACAGCTTAAAGACAAATATAGTGCTTTATCTGTACAATAAAATAGTTGTAAAAGATCCATGTTACACTATGACAAAATATAAAAAGCAGTTTACATTTGACTGCCACAACTAAATTTCTTCTGAAGGCATTTAGATTAGATGCTTATAGCTTCATAGTGGAACAAACCTTTTGGTCTCATACACATCTTTTAAGATTGAAAAAGATTTATGAAAGAGAAGTTTGCAAAAGTGGATGGATCAGTGACGTGTGCAGTGGTTTGGTGGTGTGGACGTTAACACTGGCATAAACAGCCCCGTGTATGGACTTTACGAGGCCTCAGCACACAGAGTCCGTACTGACAGGCAGCCTCCCACTGCGACGGATCTCCTTCTCCCTCTGCTTCTCCTGCTTCTCCTGTGCCTTTCGCATTTCCTTCAACTTCTTTTTGATCGTTGATCGGTCGCTCTGACTTGAGACTCCGAGGGCCTGAAACAGCGTATAAAATGGATGTATATTTAGAAACTGAAAAACCTTTGTCCAAATTAGACACTGATTGCCGGCTGCCACCACAAGAGGGCAGTAAACAAAGAAAAGCCTTATATAGTTTTCAAGTAAATTTGAGGACATTTTTATTTAATTATTAAAGACACAGAAGAAAAAATACCTTTAATTTGTCACTGTCCAAATACAGCAGCTGTTGGCCGTCCACTCCTTTTGCCATAAAGTCGGGCGTGTACTGGTCCAAGTTGAGTCCCATTAACCAGTGACACACCTGCTGACTGGTCCACTCTGGCACGGGCCGAGTCTGCCACTGGTACTCTTTCCCTGCGGGCACGGGCTCATCGTCCAATGTCTGCAAAGGCAGCACAGCCTAAGAAGTCTTTCTTCAGAAATCAAACGCATTACAGGAGCCGTCTGTGGTATGCGTCGGCCCATTTGCCAATCACTGTTTGTTTAGACAAAATATACTTTGATGATTACGGGAAATTAACTCCAGTAGGTCTGTGCATTCACAGCTGGGTAACAAGTCGCGCTTGATGTATATTCAAGAAACATCAGATGCAGAAACAGCAGTTATCACACCCCTATTTTTGGCTGCTGAAAGATAAAAAGAAGTCCCAGCTGGCCGTTCACACAAAAGCCAAAATCCAAACTCTTAACATCACAGCTGAAAGAAGAAACACACACACATGCACTTGTCTTAAACGCTTCATTCAGAAACAGTGAAAAGAGGAAGCTGAGAGCATGCCTCAGAACGTCCCTTTGAGCCACAGCTTTGTGACTGCAGCAGAGAGCACTCACCTCGCTGGAGGAGAAGACTAGAGTGTGAGAGCGCCCAGACAGATTGGGTTCAGTCACTAACCCAGAGGTGTCTGAACTGGGGCTGCCCGGGTTACAGTCATCTATGACTGATAAACTCTGAAACAAGTGAGACAAGGTACGTATTTACTCAAATAACAGCACATTAGTCCCGCACTGGGGAAAGCAGGGGAAGCACTACAGGGACAAACACTTTTCTGTTATTTTACCTTCCCAAACACACTGGAACATGCATCTGTCCCCCACTCTAATCATAAGTCTAAAACTACAGCACTACAATACTAATAAGAAAGCACAGAGGTATGAGGTCATGTTTCAATGATTACGGATGATCTGATAGGACGATTGGTCATTTGTGATTAAACATGGGTCTTCAGGGCATTTGAAGTTTGTTGCACCAGCTATTTTCCAAAGATGTCAAATCCCACACTTCAAAGCGTGCACTTTTTGATGATAATAATAATAAACAAAAATAGAATGTCAGGATGATTCTTTGTATAACTTGTGCAGCAGTGTTAGGATTACACTTGGCTAGGGTTAGTTTTCGTCAGCAACACAACCACATACCCAAGAAACAACTGATTCAGAAAGTGCTCTGTGGTGAGAATTATGCTTCAGATTCTACAGCTGTTAGTCTACTGTGATGTCAGTGATAAAAAATTTAAAAAGTTGTGTATACTGTACCAAATCTAAGGAGCGACTGAATAAAGAAGACCAGGACAGATTTGTCTGTTTGAGGGAAACAGGATTGAGTCACATGGTTAGGAGCAGGACCACTTCTATAATCCTCCTTATTTGAGTCGTTAGGCCAAAATCATGCAAATAACACGACCACTACAGCTTGTGTGAACCCAGCCAGGCATGTCGCCGAGTGCTTTTGATGTGCCACTGTTCTCAAAGCCACAACAGTCTTTGCTGCAGGCGGACTGTGAAGGCAGACATATGGATCTCGTTGCTGTCGTTTGGAAAACTGTTCCTGAATTTCAAACAGGAAAAAGTTGCTCATTTAGACTGTTGGGCTGCTTCCCTTTTGGTAAAATACTATATTGATCCTAGAGCAGCATGATGTTGCTGACCCCTGTTTGGACTCATTCATAATGGTCATCTGGGGCTGCCTGGACAGGTGCCCCAGATGAAGGGTGTCTAATGGGAGCTACGGTTACCTTGGTTTTGCGCTCCTGGCTCTGCTCACTGCTCGTCTCTGTGGCTATATAGGGCAAACTGTTAATGGAACAGGAGGGATCTCTCTCTTTATCACGGTCTTTATCTCTTAACCAGGAGAAGGGCATGCAGCTTGGGACTGAGGTCATGGACTCTGCTGGTGACAGGTTTCCCCCAGACTCCTCCAGCAGCTCAGCTGACCCCCTATCAAACAATGAAAGAAGTCATCATAAAACTCTGGGTCATAGAACTAAAGACTACTTAGATAAGACTTTTACCTGCTGCCCAGAGATGCTCTTGTGGCTTCTTTATCTTGGTTCTTTTTCCCTTTTCCACCAGATTTTCTCAAGCCCCTATTTCATAAAACAAACTTTAACATTCTCTAGGTTTTTCAGTTTTATTGTTGAAAGGTTCATACCCAAAATCAGGGAAGCGCCTTTTGGGTTTTCCTGCTGCTACTGGTTCATTTAACTCCTCTGTTAGAATAAAAAATATTGAAAACTATTCAAGAGAAAACACTTCCAATCCTCTTTTAGCATGAACCATGAGCGCCATATTACCATTGGAGACCTTGGTCTTTCCTTTGGACTCTCTCTTCTTGGCGTTTCTCAAGTAGCCTGGAGACGCGTCCTTGACCGGAGAAGGGCTCCCATAGCTCTCCATGCTGTCCCCCTGTGAGGGGGTCAGGGACGGGCTGCTGGACATCTCCTGGTCCCTGGTGTTGTCTCTCGGAGACTGTGTGTAGCATACAGGCAGTGGCAGAGCCAGGCTCTCCTGCCATGACCTCCTCCTCCTGGGGTTCTCCTCATCACTATCTTTAGATTCCTGTGCAAAATATTTACTGTAATTTAATATTAATAATAACTGGTCAAAAAGATGGAAAAAGTGCATTTAGCAGGTTTATTGAAAATCAAATGTTGATAACTTGCTGCCCTAATTATCAATAACGTGACCCATAGTATCACAATATCCTGGTGAATCGACTGCCTACTCATGGCCAAAACCACCCTTCCAGTATTGTAGCCCTCATCTATGAACAGCCTTCCAAAGGGACCTCAGGGACAAGACCCTTCATACATCTATTGATTCAAGTCAATTGTGATATAGGAATATACAAAAATGAATGGAATTGAATTAAATTCTGTAATTCATTACAATGTGCAACTAATATATGACAGACTTGTTTGCCCTCAGATATACTGTATCAAGCTTTGTTATAATGCTGATTAAGTGGCAAATAAACATCAGAAAATTAGAATCTTAGAAAATAGACTAAGCCAAAATCATAAAAATCATAACAATTTAATGGGTCTATATCAAGTGTCACCAATACTGTGCCCGCGGCGCATGGTTTCGTCACCCGCAAGGAAAACCTAAGTTGAGAATTTGTACAAGTACTCAACTTAAAATTCTAACCATGATGAAAAATAAATAAATTAGGGGCTACATGCATTTAGTTGCATAGCACCCCTCAGTTGCTAGCCCTCGTCTTTAAGAAGGTCGGGGACTTAGGCCCCGTCCCAATTCTGAGGGCCCTCCAGATGTGAGTGCCCTCACCAGAAAAGTGCCTTCCCATAGGTGAGCGCACTCACAGGATATTCTACCTAAGAAATGGAACACCCCTGGATCTAGGGGACAATATGCAAATGACACAGCAAACGTGTTCCTTCGTCACACGCATTATCAATGTGTCTGATTTCACCACAGATAAGATCTGACACAGATATGACTTTGTGAAACAAAGTATTTATTAAAAAGAGACGTTTTTAATTATATTTCATATGAAGATTTGCTATAACTAGGTACAGGACTGCTGCACATCACGCACTCATAGAGACAGATGCACACACACACACGCACACATACACATGTACAAACACAGGGAGAGACCTGTACATGCACGTACGCGCACAGAGACGTACCATACAGAGACAGACGAGTACAGCCGCGAATCAAGTAAACTGTGTCAAAGCGATGCTCTGAACTACATCATGGACCTATAATAATAACATGCAACACGTCTCTGACTGCCACACACTGCGGCCGCGAACGTCACCACACACGGCACCAACACACGCATTAAAAACTCTGAATGACTTAAGTAGTAAGCTCCGGACCTCACTTGAGCGCGAGGGTGGTTCTTAAGGGTGTGAAGGCCCTCGCCTCTTCTCCCTAAGTATTGGGACACCCTACCACCCCCACGGGCACACACAAAATCTAGGGCAAGGGTGAGAATTGGGACGGGGCTTTAGATTGTTTCAAATTTAAGTTGAATAACGGAAATAAATAATCTTTTGCACAAAATTCTAATTTCCCGAGGTTCACCTTTATACCAAAAGGTCTGACCTGAGGCTGCAGAGACGTTGAAGCAGAGTCTGAGTTCAGGCTTTCCTTCAGTTTCCCGCGTGATGGAGGCTGGCGTTTGGCTTTGAGGGCGAGCAGGCCTTTTGCTCTGTGTGCACTGGTGTCCAAGCGCTCGGTCTCAGGCAGGAGCTCCACCCAGTCCTGCTCTGCACAAAACAAACAACAGAGATAAGAATGCAGCTCTGATAGAATCATTCACCAGGATTATGTTCTTGTGGGTGGCTCCAGACCCATACTTTGCTCTAATTAAATGTGTCTGATCCAATACCTGGCTGTGAGTCATCGGCCTGTGGGCTGCTGGGAACGTGCTCCAGTTGGTCCTCTCCCGGCGCCAGCGAGCTCCCCCTAGACTCCAGAGCCGCTATCTGCACCAAACAGAAGCCTGAATGAAGACTTTCGACAGGTTTGCTGTGAATGAGCATTTGTATGAGAGGGCGTCGTACCCTTTTCTGCAAACTGTCCAGCTGCTCCTTGTACCACTTGTCTTTCTCCTCAAGGCTTTTCTTTAGTTCTTCTTCCTTCTTCACAAAGTCAGTTTCTCTGTGAAGGTACAAGTCATTTGAATTGCAAACTGCTTCATTGCGATTGGACATCACAGGGCAACACAGCAGTAGTATCCAATGGTGACACTGTTTATATTATTGTTGTTATAGTAGACTCACTTCTGCTGATAGTCCTTTAGCAGTTTCTTGGCCTTGTTGTACTTCTTGTCCAGCGTCTCGTACTGAGCTTGTGATTCAGATAATTCTTTGTTGGCAGTTTCACATAGAGCCTGAGCTTCGAGCCAGGAACTCTCCAGCTTCAGGATCTTTTCATTATTCTCTTCAACTTTCTGCTCCAGCGCCGTCTCCCTGGCTTCAAACAGGGATTTGTCTTCTTCTGAAATCCTTAGCTACAGAAACCAGACACTAGATTAGGTTAGATTCCAGGTTAACAAATGCATTTCACAGTTAACATACCTTTTCGTTCAGTTGATTTATTTTCTCATGTGCAATGCTGTTTTTAAGCTGGAGCTAGAGGGAAAAAAAACAATGACGAGTTGATGAAATTAAATGCAAAATTCTTCGTTGTAATTATTTACTACCTCTTTGAATTTGAATGCCATCTGAGAGCTGTCCATGTTGGTTGGCATGAAGAAGGCTTCTGAATGGGGAAGCTCAAACACGTCTACATTACGTCCAGGTGAAAAGTTGGATCCCAGAATCCTGTCATCCATGGCCTCGTCCTCGTAGCGGTCCTCCTGAAATATGAGCAGCACTCAGCATCCCGTCCCAGCAGCCTACAGTCCCAGGAATGTGTCACACCCTGTGGCACTATTCACTGTTCCAGAGCACAGCAATCAATACGGGTCATCACACCCTAGCAGAAAGACTTGGGACGAGGGTTTGGAAGAATTTAACACACACACTGATCTTCTGTCCCAAGTATTCTCAACATAGTAACATTTGAGGAGCTTTCTATTGATAAAAGCCAATGGCTGATTCTGTAACAAGCAACTTCTGCTAATTGATTAAACTTCTTTTCATTAAAGCTGGGGGGCCTAACATTTAAGCCCCCATAAATAGTAAATTTTGTTTGTCTATAGCACTGCAGTATAATATTGTAAACAAGTCCGACCAACGTGCTATCTTCATCATATTATTAGAAAACACCTTATTTGGGCTCAGAGCCAATTGGCTGAGTGAGAGCGGTCCTCTAATTTTATATCTTCTAAAAGCTGATCTATAGATGTGACAGAAAACTAGTTTAAAGCATTATAGGGTGAGGAACGAGTTATATACCAAACGTTTGTAGTTTGAAAGTTAGATACCTCAGCTTTAATGGATACGTTTCTTAGAGCAAACATATGCAATGAAGTAAGCTACTTGAAAATGATAAGAATGTAAGACACTTTTACTTACACAAACATTAAAGTTTTGTAATAAGTATAATAAACTTTAGCATTTAATAATAATAATAATGCATCGGTTTTATATAGCGCTTTTATGGACACTCAAAGACGCTTCACATGTCATTACTCTTTCACTCCATACACGGTGGTGATAAACTACTACTGTAGCCACAGCTGCCCTGGGGCACACTGACAGAAGTGAGGAAACCAGTCTGTGCCATCGGCCCCTCCGACCACCACCAAACTTTCACACACACCAGACTCATTCTAGGCAATGGGGGTGAACAGTAGTTTGGCACTTTACAGCCGCAGCCGCTCCACTGTGGTATCAGGTGTTCCCAGAGGTTAAGACTCTTGCCAAGGACACAACGACAGCAGACATCAAAGGGGGTCGGTGGAGAAAGTCTTGTGGTGGGCTCAAACCAACGACTTATCGTGGGGCGTGATAAATCATTACAGCCTGATGCATCATGTGAAACTAATCAGTGGACATACATTTTATGATAAGAGTCATTTAGCAAGATAAATGCAAGTCAAAGACGTCCTCTGACCAACCTCCTCTGTGGAATGGTCATAGGCATCGTCCATCTGCTGCTGGTTCTTCTCGTGCTCCAGTGTCTCACTAATGAGACGGGCCACTTCACTCTGGGTGCCTGGCTTCTCCCGACCAATCAGAAACCTGTTTGTACAAGGATAAAGACCACATGTTATAGCGGAAGATAGTCTATGTATTTATAAAAGCATGGCAATTAGCTATAGTTGGGTTCTAAAGGAAATGAAATAACACTGTTTTGTGAAAACAGAAAATAACAGTGTACACCAACAAACTCATGCAAGGAGGAAATGCAAATATACAAACGGCTGTGTGCCACATCTATCATTTGCCTATGACTAATAATTAACACAAGCTACCCATTTCTATCTGAGACATGTCAACATGACTCACAACAGAATACTATTAACTCATTTCTTTGTTCGAGGCTCTAACCTCACAGTGGGGCTGTATACAATGAATACATTCTTTAAAAAAAATGTTGATTATTGCATTGAAGTATTTTGGTCGAGGTGTAAGTTGGGTCAAAAAGCAAGTGTGATATTCTACTTCAGTCTGTACTGTGTTTTATCCAGACAGGATCAGTTTTAACTTAAAATGTACAAAAAATAAACTACTAGTGACAGACTATAACAAAAATAGCAACAAAGAGGTATATCCCTACCTCACAGTCCCTTTCGTGTTCTTCAGGACAGTGGCCGCAAATAGTTGAGTCACTCCCACTAGACTGACCCCGTCCACTTCCACTATTTGGTCATTTACCTGTATCCTACAGAGTCCAAAAGTACAATCAGTAAATAAATAAAACTTATTGACAGCATTATATTATGTGAATGTGTTCAAACACATTTAAACACATTCTCACCGCCCATCCTTCTCTGCAGCCCCTTGTTCTGTTATGGTTTTGACAAAGATGCCGAGCTTCTCTAGCCCCTGGTCCGCTCCCACTCCCATCCCGATGATACTAATGCCCAGGCCGTTGTCTCCTGGAGGCAGTAAACACGAGAATGATAAACACACAGGTCACAGGACCTTGACAATATGGGTTTCTCCACTTACCCTTTTCAATCTCCACAGGAAAAACATCCATCTTCTCCACCCTCTTCTCCAGCTCGTACTCTGCAGAAGCTGCCACTGGATCCACATCGTCGTTGCGCCGGTCATAATCTTCGTTGGAAAATGTGCTGAAAACCTGGATGTAAAATATTTTATAATTAGCATATAAAAGGATAGTATATTGTAAAACAGCCAAAAGTATATATATTACACAAATAGGGCTGGGCGATATGGGAAAAAATATATCACGATATGAGAAGTAAATATGATAACAATAGAATTCATGAAACAAACAGCACTGGGAAAAATCAAAACTGCACAACTTTATTAGGGAACACAAAAACGATGTAACAAATCCGTCTTAGCACAGTCAAAACTTTTGTTTCCGTCAATAGTTTTCACACGGAAACACTTTTCAGACAGAAAAGCTCAGTGTTGACACATGGCAGGTGCAGTAACCCACGGAGAAAACAGTCTTTTTAAAATTTAAATAGTTACCGTTACCAACAACATGTTTTGCGGAAGTTTTGAACAACATGAGAAAGGACCATTAGGAGGGAAGCTCTCCTTTGCCACAGCTGTGATCGCAGCCGCCGTTTCTGCACATGCTCAGACCAAAGGTTAACATCACCAGTTTGCATAAACAACAAAAGGTATTTCTGCTTCATATCAACCTCAAAATTATACCGGTCCGGTATTATTGTATCGGTAAAATATATCGCCAAGCCCTCAGCACAAATATTAATCTTTAGTGTTTCATAGGATATTATGTGATTTAAAAGTTTTGTGTCGAAATGTTGAAGTGCTTAGATAGGGCTGTAAACAAACAAGATTTGGCAACAATTCAAGGCTTAGAAGGTTCTTTTAAGACAAAAAATGTAAAGAAGCTAGTACCGCTTATTTACCAGAAATTAAGCAGTATTTTTTGTCTTTCTAAGCCTTAACCATAAGAAGACAAAATTTACTTTTTAAAATGTTACAATTCCTTTTTATCCATTTTTTTACTACTTTGTGTGAACTCCACATACATAGTTATGTACAAACATACAGTACATAACTAATTCCTCTCGTTTCAGACTAGGGATGTAAAAAACTATGAATTTTCATGACCGACCACCGAGCCTCATTAACCGGTTGAAACCGGTTAACCGCGTAGTTTAAAATAGTCCAGGTGTTAGTATTAGATAGCAATATGGCCTACGTGCAGGACTGTACAAGGACTCTACAAGGACTCCATGTTATGACTATGATTTGACTGTCTCTTTGTGACACGTATGTCTTTCGATGTGTGACGTGACAATGACTATATAAACTGTGTACTGCCTTTATTCTGTCTGGGAGAAAGAAACAGAGTAAACCATTGGAACTTGAGAGAAACATAAATAAACTTCCAGAGTTTGGCACACCACGATCCGTCTCTGTCTGCTAAATCCTAACAGATTTGGTGGAGAATGCGCGGCTCAGTGTGTGCCATTCTCTGGATTGTTTTGAGGGAGTTTGCTCTGTTTCTTTTCCTCTGCGTGAGAGACCGGCATGCTGTGTCTGGGAGCGGAGATTCCAGCAGGCTGGAAGAGCTGTTCCTGGATGCTTCTTGTCGCTTCTGTCACTTTTGTTTTTTAAATTGAAGATTCCGACGCGGAAAAGAGTTGGCAGACCTCTCGGACAGCCCGTGCGCACCTCTTTGACAAGAATAAGGTAAGCAGACACCTTTTTAAATGTAAAGTCTGCATAATTGGATACTAGCTAAATTTGGGTCTGTTTTTGAGGTCTGTCGAACTCTCTAAATTGTGTTCAAATAAGTGTTGGCCATTAAAGTGAATAGGATCCATAAAGTGAAAAGTGTTGGCCATTAAAGTGAAAAGGATCCATAAGTGAAAAGTGTTGGCCATTAAAGTGAGGATCCATAAAGTGAAAAGTGCTGGCTATTAAAGTGAAAAGGATCCATAAGTGAAAAGTGTTGGCCATTAAAGTGAATAGGATCCATAAAGTGAAAAGTGTTGGCCATTAAAGTGAATAGGATCCATAAAGTGAAAAGTGTTGGCCATTAAAGTGAGGATCCATAAAGTGAAAAGTGTTGGCCATTAAAGTGAGGATCCATAAAGTGAAAAGTGTTGGCCATTAAAGTGAATAGGATCCATAAAGTGAAAAGTGTTGGCCATTAAAGTGAATAGGATCCATAAAGTGTAAAGGCCATAAGTGTTGGATCCAAAAGTGAAACCATGGTGTAAACATAAAAGCAATAAAAAGGGAAACGTGTTAAGGAGGCCTTTGTTACAAAAGCGTTGAAATTGACGAATTTCAGGCTGATAAATGACAAAAGTAAAGAATCAACAATATTTCAGTGATAACGGTTTAAATTACATACAGAAAAAGGGAGTTTTTGTTTTTTGGAGTGAACAGAGTTCACCGGAGAATACAGAGTTTTATCTAAAGTTGAGCTATGAGAGCTTTCGTGAGTTATTTACATTTTTTGCCGAGTTATATCTACAGTTGAGCTATGAGAGGGTTGTATCCAACAGTTGTTTTGTTTTTTAGAAAGAGATTTTGAGTTTAAACTAGTTTGCTACCTCGATAAAATAGAAGCGTAAACGTTAAAGACAAGAGTGCCTTTTGTTACAAGTGTGGAAAGTGATCACTTCTAGACTTGGGATGACAAAAGTATAAACTACAAGTTATATTTGCTTAACAAAGTAATCTTGAAAGTTATTCTTCTTTCTGTTTTAGCATTTTTGCTAAAACACTGCTTCTGCCTGTGTGTGCTCTATCTGCTGCCGTTGTCAGGGAAACGGCCCCCTCCTTCGCTGCTCTGGCTCTGAATCAGAGCAAAGCTACTGCTTTAGGATTTTGGCTTTTCATAGTTGTTATTCCGTTAAATTTGCGAAATTTGCCATTTGAACATTGTGTTATGACACAGTTAAACGTTTTTAAACACCATTAGTGAATACGTTTTGAATATTATATGTTTTTTGAAACCCAAAGATTAGTACAAAAAGCTTTGCTTTTCTTTTTAAATATGCTGCTTATTTTGTGAGTCCATTATTGCATCTCTGATATATTTCATAGCTGTTTGTGAGAATTTTTTTATGTTTTTATTTTAGTTACAAAAGCCGTTTTTCAAACATTTAAATTAGAATCTGTGTTAAAAGTGATTATTGATTATAGACTTCGTCTAAAAAAGAAAGAGGGAATTAGGCTGTAAAAGTATTATATTATTAAGTTAAACTACCCAATTCACCTTGCAAGCGGTGATGTTTTTGTTTTGACTATGCACCTGACCTTCCTCCTGCTGCTGATGAACACAGCAGAGGAGCCTGGCTCTAAAATGTGCTCCAATTCATACTGACTTCATTTGAAAAATGCTGCAATTATTTTAAATTAGTAGAATATATGCTGAGATAAATGTTCATAGATAATTAATCACACAGTGCAAAAGTACATAATACATATTTTAAAGGTTGAAGGTTCAAGGGATTTGAGTCTTGTTTTTTATTAAGAAAGAGTTTCTGGTCTTAAAATGTCATCATTAGTAAGATAATAAGTAATCTTTTATTTACATAGCGCTTGGGAAAACTCAGAGCGCTCCAAAATTGTTTTGACTTTAGGGAGAAAAACAATCTCATTCACAATCTCTGTTGTTTTTAATTTGACTATAAGGTTGTTTTCCAGAACCAAGGGCACACACTGTACAAGGGTCACTGCTGGACTGGACACAGAGGGATCAGAACAGTGGCCCAGAGTAGACACCATCCAACCAGCCGCAGATCGTAAAGGCGAGATAGCTACCTCCGTGTGCCCCTCCCCCACTACAGACCGATGGTCGTAGGGGGCAGTGAGACCGGGGCCACAAAGTGGGGTTTTCTGTAGGCAGTGGTGGGTGAGTTGTTTTGCAATCTGGAAGTGTGCCCACTTTGCGTGGTTGCATCACCACAGTGTGACCTTTGAGACCTACAGGTGGTTCGAGGAGTCTGGAGACACGACCCCAAAATTCCCACCCTACACACACACACACACACATACACACACACATTCATATTTACATATAGATACATGAAAAAGCAGAACATGAGAAAAAAAGCATTTTAAAAGTTTACTCCAATGTAAACACATTTTTAATTGTCTATCACTTGAATCTTTAGTTGAATCAGTATTTTTTGAGACCAGAAATGTTCATTTGAATTCTATATTGTCATGGACATAATTGACCTCTGTCCTGACACTTTTGATTTGTTGATTTTGTACTGTGTGAAGTAATTACATTGATGAGGATTAGATCTGATAAAAACACAAATTAGAGAAGTAAACTGAATCATTGCGCTTGCTTTTGTCTGAGGGACATTAGCAACAGCATGAATAGAAATTGTGTTAAAGTAGAATCAAAGTGACTTAACCATAGAAAGTAACTATTGCATAACAAGCTGTGTACAGGAACTGAGACACTGCACCATTGACCAGAAGTGCATCGCAAATGACCTGATGTGCTTCAAGTGAAAAGACTGTATCTGGAGATCCTGATGTGCATCTGGAGACCAAAACCATGGCTTGGACCCTACTGATGTCCAAGATGACATCTCTATATGACCTGACCTGATGACGACTGAGACTCACCCTCAGGGGACCCTGAGGACCTGAGGACCTGAGGATCTGAGAGAGAAAAACCTGGGGAGTGATGTTTATATTTTTGAAATCATACATTGATGAGTGCTAAATGAGAGAGATACTCATGATTCTTTCTTTTGTTTTTGTTTGTCCCTAGCTTCTGGACATCTGATGATCTATTGGACACAGACATTTGCAGAACAAGAACAAGCCAATGAAAAAACGTCTATTGCTGATGCTATTGCTACAACCAGAACCACAACCTGTGACCAAATGCAATATACATGTTAAGTATTCAGACATCTGACAGACAAAAACTTTGACTTTTTTTTAGTCTGGGAGACTGAGCAACTGTTAAAATGTTTTAAAATGATAAAGTATAAGTATTGTAGCGTTTTAGTAGATGTTAAATAGTAGTAAAAAAGTAGAATTTGACTTCCTTTGTTGTTCATAAACACATTTCCACATAAGAGTTAAAATAGTACCCTACAATGTTATCCTTTTGATAGATCAGCTAGAATATTAGAATCAGAGTTATTT